CGTCGCGATACTGTTATTGTTTCTAAAACGATACGTTACACCTAAATGGTATGGGGAATTTAATCTATCATCGGAGAAAGGTTTTCAAACACCCTGTCGATAAAGAAGGAAGCTCGTTTGAACGAAAAAAACAAAATTTGTAGCTATTCGATAATTTCAGAAATTTTTACTGTTTTTAACGATCGTAGAAATTCCACTGTTTAAATTATAATGTGTATATAAAGACGTCGTTATTATCGGCATTTTTGAAATTGAAACGAAAGGGGATCCGAAACAGCAGGACCTCTAGCTGGCAGAAGGTGGCAGCATCCGAATTAGCATTTCAATTTGTCCGCGCAGGTGTTCCGCAGAAGGCAGTCGCGACACTGACTCAACGACGATCGTCGAGCTCAGCCGAGTCGTCAGCCCGTGAACACCTGACATTTTCGATGCACAGTCTTCGTGCAATACACCTACCGGCATTTACATAGCTGTCCGTATCATCACGTCCGATCTTATCCGTCTCTCTAAACCGATAAACGAACGCCAGTTCTCGGTGGAACGCGCGAATCGATGAATCGAATGAATTCGTTCGATAGAGTATATCGTAACGTCGTAGGTTTCAGGCGAATTTCCACGAGTTTACGATAATTGCAAAATCGTTCTGTGAATTAGCCAACGGTTATCTGTATAATTGACCATCGATAGCAACCAAGCTACCTGTTAATTATCAATGGTTCGATATGCTTGCTAATAACCGAACAGATGGGAGAGTTAATCCTGTGATTAAACGCGGCTTGCGGTGTATACGACGCCACGTCGAACGAGCGTGACGTTCTTGTCAAACGAACGCGTTAATCGTACGTCGAGACTTGTTTTTTCACAGAGTCCAAACGACGAACGGTTCTTTCGTATTTTTTCGGAAAATATCATCGGATATTATTTCGATCAGCGATGTCGTAATACCGAATGACGGAGGAGCAAGGAAAAACCGTGTCGAGACGTTACCGAATGACGCAAATATCGATGCTAACCTCAACCACCTACGGACATTCTTCGGAAATGAGGTGTCTTATTTGTGAAAGACACTGCACCCGATGAGAAACGGAATAAC